CTCGTGCCACGCTGGTGTCGTGCTCCCCAGGTTGCCGACGAAGATTATGGGTCTTCTTCGAAATCACTTTATGATTTGCTACCTTCAACGTCACTCTCAGAATTGTCGGTACAGGATTCTGTATCGGAGGCATTGATTAGCTGCAATATGTCAGAATATCCCAAACGACACGGACCACATGTTACGAACGAACTTTGAAATTACTCTCGACTGAACACGTCTAGCCACTAAGCTATTTGCTGTGTGTTAGTACGGCAACGGCAACGCATGCATAAAGAATGCTAGCATTGAACTGTAGATGAACAGTATACGTATTGTTTAGGAGAGATCTATAAACAACACGTGAGTTTATATCTCTCTTCCACTGACAACATTCCAGTTGAAGTTCGTCACAGACTGCGATAAAGTCTCTAGACACAACATCCGGTCTGTTACCGTTACTTGGACTAATGTCGTCATCCAGCAGATGGCATTCAGGGGTGTCCAAAACGTATGAATTCTCGCAGAGAAGGAAAAAAATTGGCAAATTTCTTTTTGGAGTCAGTGCAAAAATTTTAACATGTTTTATACAATCTGTAAATTACAATATCTGATTCTATATTCTTTCGAGAAAAAAACAGCGTTTATTTCGTTCGATTATCACAGAAATAGCAGAAATAGGAGCAAAATTAGTAAGTAACTTACAGCTTTTACGGATTTCTAAGAGCGGCCCTTTAAATAATTCCGTACCGCCGCCACAGCCTAAGTTTAAAGGGCCGTAGGTTAAAGGTTAAATCAAGTGGTAACACTCACCTGACATTGAGGAGGTCCATGGCTCAAAGCTCAATCCAGAGACCAATTGAGCTGTTATGTTTTTGTGGATTCTGTTGGACCCATCAGATAAATTTTTGGATTCCTGCCGTGTGATTTACAGCTCACTGACAAATTTTCAAACCATTTGACACTATAGGGTATGATATTCTGGTAGCATTCTTAAGTAAACAGTAAAAAATGTGCTGAATGGTTTAGCATTAGTATATTACATTCAGCAGACATATACAGCTCAGGTGACAGGTACTCATGAAAGCAAGTCTTACTGAGTTGGTTGAGACACTACGCAACAAGCTGGAAGGTCATGGGTTTGATTTCCAATGAGGCTATCAGATTTTTCAATTGACTTGATTCTTCCAACCGTACTGTGGCCCTGGGATCTACTCAGTCTCTAACAGAAATGAGTACCAGGAATCTTCCTGGGGTAAAGGGCAGCCAGCGCGTATGGCTGACAACTTTTACTGCCATTTGTCAAGGAAATGTGCGAGCCTCAACGTCTCACAACCCCATCGGCCTCCACAGCCTGTTACAGGGACTTTATTTCTCAAAACACTGAATAAAGTATCCATCAGTTTCTTCTGTTGTGTAGTCATTGTGATCACACTGTGTACAGAAATAGAGTTGCAAGACATTGTCTCAGGTCAAACTTTTTTTGCATGACATTTCTCTCCCATTAACCAACATTTTTCCTGCCCCCTGCTCCTGGCCAACATTTCCAAGCTGTGGGGGTTAAGCTATCTAACAGGCCATAAAGGCCTATAGGGTTGTGAGACATTGAGGCTCCCATGTTTTCTGTAGACAATCAGCTCAAAGATGGTGGTAAGTTTGTCAGCATTATGCGCCAGCCGCCCTTTACCCCCCAGGAAGATTCCTGTTACTCACTTCTGTTAGAGGCTGAGTCGATTCCAGGGCCATAGTGCAGCTGGAAGGATTAGGTCAATTGAAAAAAATCCATTGACCTTATTGGGACTCGAAACCACGACCTTTCAGCTTGTAGCATAGTGCCTCAACCAACTACTCTACCATGTGTCCCTCATCTGATTTGGTTAAAGAATATTTCATATTTTATGAAATCTTACATCACCAAGTCAGTGATTATGAAATTTGCTGTCTTCTGGTATGTGCAGCCATGAGATCTGGTAGATAATTATAATTTCAGACGAACCTCCTGTCTCCATCTTCAGGGTAGAAATGTAAGTAAGGAGCTTAACTCTTCTGCCCCAAAGATGGAATGAGAAATTTGCTCTGAAAGGCTGGTAATGAGATACCAGACTACATGTTGTCACATACCAGAAGACAGTGATCTTCCGCATTTTCATTATCAGGCGTTTGTTTCAGATGCTGTCAACATCAATTGGGCCCCCCATTCAGCATGCCCCTTCTTCCCACCACACTGACATAACCAGCCCCCAACCCCCCACTCACCCTCCCTCAGTGGAACCTGTCCCTAATCCACTGCTGTACAGCCAGTCTCAGAATGTTGTCCCACCTGTATCTCTATACAGTCAACCTATCTCACTATACAGTCAACCTCAAAACACTTTAGGCTCTGTAACATTGTATAGCCAGTCCAAATCTTCCATACCTATATACAGTCAGTCTCAAACCACTGCCACATCATTGCATTTGAGCTTCAGCGCCAGCAGCACATCAAGTGCTGCCAACTTGACAGATCAACCAACAGTCAGTAATGCTGGTGTTATGATACCATCGCATTATTTTCACCATGATGTTGGGGTAAGATAAATATGTTTCACTTTTCGTATAACAGGTGTTTTATTTTGGATCTTTACTTTTACCAGTGCTGGCTAGAGAAGTTATAAGAATTTTCATTATCCAGCTCTGATTAACTCTGCCTGTCATTTGTCAAATTTTATGGTCTAGTGGTCAGGTTCTGCTGTGAATTTAAATGTTCCAAATTCATATCTTTGCCTGTAACAACTGCATTTTGAGACTTGTTTCCTTCTGATTTTCATCGGGCCATCTATGTAACTGTTGGGATACCACGACAAAATAGGCCTCAGCCATTTACTTCCACATCTTCATAATTCAGAAAATGGTCCTGACTTTTGATGTCATATGAGATGTGGCCAGGTGGGGTACACTCAGCTGCAGCAGTTTGTTCATTATTGAAGAAAACAATAAACATTGTCTTGATTTTAGATTTTGACATTCTTGCTTTCTTTTATCGTGGATAATGGGTTGATTTCCAGTGCACTGACTGCTGTTTTGGTCCTAGATCATATTGAAACATCTATGTTCCTTCACAGATGACCATACTACCCAAGAAGTCCAAATCTTGTATGACTTTTTCCAGCATATCAACACAAATTTCTTTTCCTTGTGATTTCTTTGGCATTGTTATGGAGCAGACTTTTCTCTTTATAAAATCGTTGGTTATAATTTGTTTTATTGTTTTCTTGTCCACGTTTATTCTCGTGCTCCAGTTCTGATGCCCTAATAGTGATTGTTTCATATAAAAGCCCTCATCTTTTCCACATTCTCATTAGTTTTCACTGTAACTAGACAACCAGGTTGTTCTTCAGTTTGGCCACTCTTGAGAATAGTGCACATTATTTGCACAGATATTGCCAACCTTTGCTGGCGTAACAAATCTGACATTGTGTTTTCATGTTGTCAACAGCAGCAGCAGCAACTGTTCCCTGTATCAGTGCCTGCCCCATTGTCTTCATCAGGGATGTCTAGCGCCGGATCATCAGGTGGCATCGTCTGCTCCCCAAATGCAATCCTCGTGAACCCTAGTCTCATGGAAGGCACCAGCATTCCTACACGCCACATCCTGTCCTCACCAAAGGGTCTCAACAACCAGTAACCAGTTGATGTGGTATTGAAGAATGTTACTAGTACCTAACGTGACAACTTGCCAAACTGTGGGGCTCCTACAGTGAAGAAATTTGGTCCTGGAATGCATTGTGGCTCATTATGTGTACAACATGGAGACTGACTACCTTGTGAGTTTTCTCAGTCCCTCCAGGCAAATGCTAGGATATTACCTCAAATCAGGCTGCAGCCCCTGTCCTTCCACATCCTTTCCGTAAAGAAACGGTGTGAGGATGTGGACTGGATTCAGCTGGCTTAGAATAGAGTTCAGTGACAGCTCTCGTTAATATGATAGGGAACCTTCAGGTTCTATAAAATGCTTGGCTTTCTTCTGACCAGCTGAGTGACTTAGCTTCTGCCTTATGTGGGTTATAATATGTTAATGAAGGGAGTTTTCATATCTTTTGGTCAGGATCCAGCTTTCGCAGCTGGAAAGATGTGAGTAATGCATTATATAATATACATTTGGCCAGTATAATTGCTTTCTTATGCCACACATTTGCCAGATCTGATTCTGAACTTGGGCACTCGTGTATTATATCCTAAAATAGCCCACAGCATTTGGTCTGATGTAGGTGTGTGGATCAGATTTACTCACATAGGATTTGAGAATGTGACAGTGATTATTGTGGAGCGTTATACCTTCTTGGACAAAACGCCGTGAATTGTGGTGAAAGTCAACGGAAGAGCATGTCACCTCCATCTTCAGGGTTGAATAGTACACCATGCAAGAAAATTTCATGAAGCAGGTAGCAAGCAGAGATGGTTTCTTACTTGACTTACTGTTCAGTCCTGAAGGTGGTGATATGTACCCCAGAAGATAAAACTTTTCAACTGTAACCACTGTTGAAATAGACAAATACATTGAGCCCTGCATTAGGATTCTTTAGGGAGAAGAAGCAGGAGAGTCTGAAACGGGGAAATCTAACAGTGAGATAATTGACTTGGGATCATTGAAATTGAACGTTGAGTGAGGGAAACCCTGAAACTGAGGAACAGTAAGTGAGAAATCCATTGTAAATGAAACGTTGTTTGAGATCAGAGGTTCTCACAGCAGTGAATATAAAAAGTACTTTTTTGGGGATGTTACTCTATGTAGTCTGGTAGAGTGTTACCAGCATTACATAATATTGTCACGTATTGGGCATATAACGCGACAAATAAATTCACGCCATATTTGATGTAGCGAATTTTATTTCACATTCGCACTTAACTTACAATCTGACAATTACTGCTATCTGCAGTATCACAAATACTACACTCCAAATGCCAGAATACAGCTGACTGGTTGCTGGCTAACTCTGAACTAACTCGGAGGTAGCTCCAGGACTGACTGTGAATAGCCTTCGCTGCTCCTTATGTAGCCTTGATCGGACAACACAGAAAACGGCCACGTAATAGGCACCACTATGTCTGGTGCCATCGTGCCAGCAACGCTGTGTACCGCTGTTACTACCGTCGTCTCTCGCAACCACTGTTGACCCGCGCTGCCTAGCAACCCGCGGTACATCTTGGTGACGTCACCACTGTTGACTCGCAGTGCATAGCTACCAGGATGCTGGGACTCGGCTAACTTCGGCTCCGCTCGGCTCACTTCGGCTGGCGGCGGGGAGGGGCGTTATCCATAGCTCAACATGTCACAATATAATATTCACTGAGCCGAGCAAGGTATGGTCCACGGTTATTACATAATGCTGGTAATGACTAGTGTACTAAGTTTGCTTGACGTCCCAAAAACAAGAGTCTAAATTGTCAGTGCTGTGAGAATGCTAAACCTCACCGAAATCGAAGTATTTCAGAATGTTTTATGAGATGATGATGTCAGCGGTTCCCGACTCTCATACAGGTTACCCAGAGTGTTTTGATGAGTGTAGTGGGTATGCCAATATGTGGTTTCTGTAGCCTAGTTTTTCCACAGTGCGCTCTGCTTGTATGCTTCATGTGTGAAGTTAACTAGATTCACATGTGATTTGAACCTGTCATGGTGACTGCATGCGATAAAGTCTGCTTAGACGATCAACATTTTCAGTATGGAGTAAGCACCTGACATTCTGGAGGCTGAGACAGACCCTGAGCATTGAAGACTTACTCCATATTGAGAGGCCACGCCATAGCTCAAGCAGTTAGTTGCTGGTTTCCCGCTGCAGCGGCCCGGGTTCAATCCCGGGTCTGGTCAAGTGGGATTTGTGGTGGACAAAGTGGTGCTGGGGCAGGTTTTCTCCTAGTACTTTGGTTTCCTCTGCCAATCTTGATTCCACCAAATTCTCCATCATCATCATAATCGCCAGGGACAGGTACAATAGGTCAATCAGCGGCCGCCATGCCGAGTGTACCCAGATCGACTCCAACCCCCCACTAATCGAAATAATTAATTAATTACTCCATGTTGATGTGGCAGTTTGCTCAGGACGACTTGATTGCCGTTGATACTCGTGTACTTTTAGAAGGGAGAGGATTTGTTAAACACTACATGAATGGTAGGAATTAGTGTGAACAGATGAGTGTCTGGAATAAGAAAGAAGTTATTGGAAGATAAGTAATTTTAAATTATTGTTTGCATCGTATGGGGTTGGAATGCTTAACCACTGAACCTGAGATACTGTTGTGTCAATGAGAAGGCAGTTTGTCTTTCCTTTGTTAATAGCATAAATGACACAGGCTACATGTGTAATTGTTGTCACCCAGCATTCTAATATTTTTACTATGATTCCATTTTTTCCCCTTGGTTATGTGCATATGTGTCATATTTAAGCAGAACGAGGTATTCAGCATTTGTGCCATGCAACCCTGTCTCCATTTCATTCTGACCAGAGCGGTAGGATGAATGTTGTATCACTTAACTGAACTGTGGCAGAGTTTCCAGTTTCCAGTGCTGGCATCCAGATTGTAACTCAGAAGTGATGGTATTGGTGTTGAAGAAATGCAACCCCCAACCGATAGAACTTCTTGCACGTTCTCTTGTGATGTTACGGTACGCAGTCAATGAAGATGCAGATATTGAGATTTCAGGTTTTTGCAGCAGTCACTTTGAAGATTACTGTATTCTGAGTTGTGATGCTGTGTAATCAGGTAGAAGTATACCGACATTTTAGTGAATTTTTGTGCAGTCATTTTCTGCTGGCTGGTTGTATGGTATACTCCTCAGCCATGAAGACAGATACAGTACAGTCCATTGAACCATTGTTGGACTACCAGGCTACATGGCACCACATCCCAGAAAACAATAACCTTTAAAAAAGTAACTTCATTCCTTTGAACTAAGCTGAAAATGTTAGACAGAATTACTGGGTTTTTGAGATTTTTCCATTGTCTGGATTTGTCATCCACCATCATCAGAACTTTTTAGAATCTATTTGAAAATGTTAGATTTTAGATTCTCATGGCAGTGACTGTAATCTCTCACTATGGTGACACAAAGTTTTGCGTGCTACACCAAATGTTCTACGATGTTAGTTGCTGTTAGGTGGTTGAGTGACAGTTCCTTTCGTGGTTGGTACACAGCAGAGCTAGTCATGTTGCCGATACTAAATAATGTCATAATGTAAATTTGCTTATGAAGGTTATGTCTGTTATTCTGTATGCTCTCCTCTCCCCTTCAGCAAACTTTGTTGGTACATTCAGGTACATAATTGTAATCTGTCAGATGACAGATTGTCATATTGTGCATTACTCAATTATGAACATTGTGTTAATTGTGCAGTAAATATCCTGACAATGCCTGAATTATATTAACACACATGCACATATTAATTTATAAGTGTACAGTATGTAAAAAGGTAATATATTTTTATGGGAGTAGAAATGAAATTATGTATATTGTATAATTAGACTCTACATTGTGGCCAAGAAAATGTACTGAGTTTATTATCTGTAGATGTTAATAAAATTTGTTGGAAAGTGAGAAAGAAGCTTTTGGTATTATGGGATTTTGTACTTTCATTACTAAGACTTAGACCTGCAGATTTAACCCCATTTCATTGAATTTCAGTCCATATCCCAATATGTTCAGTTGGCACAACACCAGACCTAATTGGACTGCATTTACTCAAGCAATGGTGCTGTTGTCTTCTGTTTGAGAGGAGCATGGTTAAAGATTCGGGCAGGACATTGGCAATCCTGACAGGTTCTTTCTTGTTGTTTTCCTGTCCCCCTAGGAAAATTCAAGAATAGTAATCCAAATTAGGCCATGACTATTATCGTCCACATTCTTTACAATTCATTAGTCACCAAAGATTGTATCATTCATCCCCAAAAGCATATGAACTTCTAATAGCATTATTAAATGAATCATAAATAAATTCTTGTCTCCTGGAAACTTCATAACTTGTGCTCATTGCAAAATTTAATTAGAATGATTGTGTCAAGAAGGGTGAGATTGGCAGGACATGTAGCATGCATATAGGATTTTGGCGAGAAAGCCGGAAGGAAAGAGACAACTTGGAAGACCCAGTCATAGTATGGGAATGGGATGGGGTGGTGTGGGCTGGTTTCACCTGGCTCAGGATATGGATCAGTGGCAGGCTCTTGCGAACAAAGTAACGAATGTTCAGGTTCCATAAAACGTTGGTAAATTCTTTAGTAGCTGAACAACTGGTGGCTTTTCAAGAAGGACTTTTCTCCGTGGAGAATATTATTATGTAGCCAACGTAGTGATGTGGAACAGTAGTTACTCAACTTACCGACTGGGATACTGGCGTGTACGGTAAGCTAGCTTTTATTTTGCCGGATGGGTGTACACCCAAAGATTGCAGTGAAGTCGACTGAGTCCCAGAAAATGTATAAAACCGTATAAAACCAACGAATAGGAGAGGTGTGAATGTGTGGGTTTTGTCTGTCTGGTCGCTAAATGTAAAAATGAATTGCTTAAACGAACCTAACGTTTATCGAAAATAATGTAAAGGAAATTAACGTTAATTGAAAATAAACATAATTACCGTATGATTTGGTGGTGATTTTCACTCTAGGTCGAAATGTAAGTTATCACGGAAGCTGCCTCAGGAACCTCAGGAATAGGTCAGATTGGACGGATTGGACCTACTTAATGTTAACTTTCCCTATATTGTAAAAGACCTAAGAAGAACGGGTATTGTCATGCGAACACTTTCCATGTCCCTGAGGGCAAGAGAAGGTGTTAATGTGTATTAGAACCCCAGCCTAGAATGTCAATAAAGCAACCAGCATGGAACATGTTGATTTAGCGGAGGTAAATGACATGAAGTGAAACTTAAAATGGATCTGATAATAACGGTAGAAGGAACAACTCCAGCTTCTACACCAAAGAAGGAAGAGCTTATTGATATAAAATATGAAGACCATTATGATCCAGATCCCACATCAGCAATCCCGAATGAAGATCAGGTGAGTTTTATCTTAAAATTCCGCCTCATTCTCCATGAACATTTGATGTGGATTCTTTGTATTTTTGTTGTGGTGACATGTTATAATATAAAAATGTTATTCAGACTAATAAATTCATTATCCCACTTATTTACCGATATTGCCACATTTATATTATATTATTACTATAACAATACAGGAGAAATTAATTAATTAATTACTGTAGCATTAAACCTTGCAGCAGTGTTTTTAGTACTCCGTAATGTATGTAATAATATCAGCTTCGAAGATTTCTCGGTGATGATAATACATTCATTCATTCATTCATTTCCTTTATTTTCCACATATCCATACAGGTAACAAACCTAGGATGTGGAAATAATCCCTTTGAGAATAGATGTGTAGAGATATATACAGTAAATTACATGAGTTACATAATTAAAAGAAGACCACAATATGAGCGTCAAACAGTAGCCACACGTCATGGGAAAAATAATATGAAGTCATCTGACATGAAGCTCATGATGTGTGTAGAAATTAGCTATTGGTTCCTTACAGTGACAAAAATAGATTCTCAGAGCATTGAACTGTGACAGTTTGGTATTACATTCTGTATCAATCCACCAGGGTAAATCATTTTGTAACTTTATAAGATTTGAGGTTTTCAGGGGACTGAATGCAATGAGATCTTATCCAGCAATGAGGCAGGTGTGTATAGAGTGAATTTTTATTTACACAGCTCATCACGTGGGAATTCTTGTTTTGTAACAGTTTTCTGACATTCAGTATGAAGTTAAGACTGATTTTTCATTGTTTTACAGCAGTTCTTGGATGCGGTTAAGACGGAACCTGATTCAGATAGTGAATTTGATCATGATCCACTCTCGAATGTCAAATATGAGGAGCCTGTTTGTGTACTACTCAAGAGTGAACCGTTTGTAAGTTATGTTTTCTTAAGGCTATTCCCTGGTCTGAATTTTATTGGAGGAGTTCTTTACTTAAGTAAATTTTAATATTAGCAGATGACCCAAGTAACTGTAAAAGTTATCACCATATTAGTTGTCTGTGATCTGAGTGCTGCCAACCTGAGAAGTTTATTTGCAAAAACAGGAGCCATAGTCTAACTTTTGAAAGAAAAGGAATGGAGGTGGGGGGAGGAAAAAATAACCAACCAACTGTAGAATTCTGTCTGCGGTAACATGTACACAAGATTGGACTTTCAGTTTATTTTGCTTTTGGAAAAGGATTTTCATTTTCTTTTAACATTAAATATTTGAAACTTTCTAATGTTAGGTTTTGTTTTTTATGTTTACAGTAAACTTGTACAGTTGGCAGTGTGGTGGTAAAGTTTTAAAGTTGCTTAGGTGGCCCCTTAATTCATAAGTACATTTTGAAATGTTGCTGTAGTAGGACCAGCTGGATCTGAAACCCACTACAGAAGAACTCTCCTGTGCACCCTTGTCCATGAAACAAATGGAAATGTTGAGTTACTAGATCATGCTCACATTGGATGATTTTAGCATGCACTGCAAAATTTTCACTGTCACAGTTTCCTTTATTCAGTATTTATCTGTACACATCTGATCTGAGATTCACAGTTTTATAATTAAATGTATGCTTGGAGTTGCTTTTTGTGCCCTCAGAGTTCTAGAAGTTCATCTGTCCTATACAGTACCGAGGTCAAGAGAATGTGGATCTATACATCCCCTCCCCAATATGCCTTCATGGTGGGGAAGAAAAAAAAAAAAGCAGCAAAGTAAAGGTGTCCCTGTAACTGGTTGTGAAGGCCCATAGGGTTGTGAGATGTTGAGGTTCCCACATTTTCTAGACAATCGGCTCATAGATGGCGGCACGGTTGTCAGCCTTACGTGCCTGCTGCTCTTTACCCCCAAGAATATTCCTTTATGGTGTAGTGCTTAATTAATTAAGCACAGGAACAACTTTACTTATCCTATACCAAGGGCACAGAGCCAAGTCCCATGGTTGGTGTGAATGATGTCACTTGAGACCTCTCTCTCTCCCCAACACCTTGTGGTCTGTGTTATTGATTCCAAGCACTCAATATATAAACTCATGTGTATTGAGTGGGTAGACGAGAGGGAAGTATGCTGGAGGGGGTAGCATAACAGCTCAAGGAAGTTGAGGAGGAGCTCAAACCATGGGCCTTTTCTCCGTAGCCGTTGTTCAGATCAATGATCTGTTGGTTCTAATTGTATAAATACCTGAGTGTTGTGTATCTAAATTATTTATTTTTAGGAAGCATCAGATTCCACGTCAGAAGGTGATGAAGTAATGAAAGAGGAATGTGTCTCGAGCAGTACCAGGTGAGTACGCTGACAGTGCATTGTATGGGAGCAGTAGGTGCTTGTCTGATCCAATACATTTGTTGTTTATAACAGAATCTCTCAGCTTCAGTAAGATGAATGCTGCATACAGTTTGTTGTGTCAGGACAACAGAAAATTTGCTACAGAGCAGTTTGCAATCTCTGTGTGGGATTAAGAACTTATTTTTTAAACAAAAATGCAAGTTTACATTTCTATAGTGTACCATTATGTGAAATGTTTATGTTGTATACTAGTGTTATACCCATTGAGAATTCAGTGGAAAATCTCATAATTTTTGTATAAGCTTTTGCCTATATTCATTTCAGCCCTATGTGTTTTTGAATGATGCTTTGAGGCCCACATTTAATGCTCCCTCTCTCATGAATAACATGTAGAAATAGTTGTAATAATCTCCTTTAAATAGTATTTTGCTTAGTGGGGCGTGGAGTCCAACTGGGTCAACTCGGCATGGTGGCCACCGATTGGCCTATTGTAGCCTGTCCCGGGTGATTATGATGATGGAGAATTTTGTGGAATGAAAATTGGCAGGGGAAACCAAAGTACTCTGAGAAAACCTGCCCCAGCACCACTTTGTCCACCACAAATCCCACTTGACCGGGCCGCCGTGGTGGGAAGTCAGCAACTAACCGCTTGAGCTATGGCCTTATATAGTATACTGCACTTCACATGCCCACATCAAAATATTATTGGTACTCACAGAATAGACACAATATACTTCAACAAACTACTGCTCACTTATTTCTGACCTGCTACATAACTTACATTCATGGAGTGTTTTATCACTTGACAGTCTGTTGCTATAGTAACCTGAAATTGTGTAATTTGGGAGCTGTTATCTCAACATTACATTCAGGTTGCTTTTTCTGTCATTGCTTAACCTCTGAAATGCAGCACTGCAAAGGAACAGCAATGACTGTCTCAAGTTCCAGTGGCTGCGGGAGAAGAGAAATGGAGTGTATAGACAAAGCCCAAAAAAGTAAAGTAAAGTTATCCCTGTACCAGGCCATGAAGGCCCATAGGGTTGTGAGACGTTGAGGGTCCCACATTATCTAGACACTCGGCTCAAAGATAGCGGTAAGGTTATCAGCCTTACATGCCAGCTGTGCTTTACTCCCCAGGAAAATTATTTAATTAATTCCTGGTACTCATTTCTGTTAGAGGCTGAGTCGACCCCAGGGCCATAGTTCCGCTGGAAGGATTAGGTCATTGAAAAAAATCTGGTGACCTCGTCGGGACTTGAACCCGCGACCTTCCAGCTTATAGCATAGCCCCTCAACCAACTATGCTACTGCGTGCACCCCATCGGGTGTATAGAGCAAGTTCTTATCACAAAAGTAACAAAACCTACTTCCTGTATGGTTCCACAGATTCTCCAGATAAGGTGCAGAACTGAAATATAAGTGCAACTGTCCTGACTGAGCTGTTTCATCATTGTCCTTTGTCCTTCCAAGCAAATGCTAGGGTAGTACCTAAAACAGTGGTGATCATTTCTTTCCACCTCTTTCCAATTCAATATTCACTTGTCCTGCCATTATACACAATGTAGTCTTGAGTCATTGAATAAGCTGCACCTAAATTATCATCAGATTTTGAATAATTTTATTAAAATCTTGTAAAACCAAAAAAAAAAAAAAAATCACAGTTTCATAATTGGTGTGTAAATTCCAGGAGACGAAACGTTTTTTGAACGAATAGCTTGTAAACTGCAGGCTTGAAGTGTAGTTAATGAAAGTTTTTAATGTCCTCCGAAACTGTAATGTAAGCATACCGTCAGCATTGTTTCTGTACTGGATTAAGCACCAGATTTCTTATTGTTATATGGGAGTTATTGTATTGCAGTAAAATTGAAAATACTGCCTTAACCCTTTAAGGTGCAGTAGTAACTATACATACCACATGCTTTAACTTTCAGAGCTCTCACATTTTACCATCAGAGTGTATTTGTATGTTTCATATGATTCTTACTGTGAACAGTGATTATTTCCATAGGCAGGATTGAGCATTGGCAGTCTCTTGTTTTTTTTCTGTTAGGTAGGGACTGGATTTTTAAATATTATGTAGGTGAACTTCAGGTTTCATATGGTTGACAGTCTTGAGAGTATATGTAATTGCAGTAATACTGATGCATGTGTGTCAGAATATTTCATGTCCCTAAAGCTGTACCTGATATGTAAATTGCAGAGAACATTGGTTACTCTGAACCAAAAGACCACTTAACTGGTTGCAGTATTTCGGCCTTAACTATTACAATCACAGCAAGTCCCATTGCACTGTACAACGATAGATATAAATCTATGACACCATTAAGTAATACTGTTTATTCTGTCACAGTGAGCACAGTTTCATCAGCCACCAGTATGAAGAAAATGGTACAGAAGTTTCACCTCGGCTGACATCAGAAGGGATATCAATGAACGAAGTGTCTGGGATGTGTAGTAAGGGGTCCTCCTGTGGTGGAAATTTGAAGAATTGTACAAATGTGGACTCTGAAGAAATATTGCTGACAAGCTCAAAATGTAAAGACCGAGTGACAGAAAAAACCTTTACATGTGAAATATGCTCCAAAGTATTTCCATACAATAGTAACCTGAAACGTCATGTTCGTACACACACTGGAATTAAGTCATTTAAATGTGACATATGTGGTAAAGTTTTTTCAGAGAGCGGAAGTGTGAAACTTCACCTTCGGACACACACAGGTGAAAAGCCTTTCAAGTGTGACATATGTGGGAAAGTTTTCTCACAGAGTGGAAACCTGAAGCTTCACACACTCAGACACAAAGGAGAAAGAAATTTCAAGTGTAACATTTGTACCAAGGCATTCCTAAATAATAGTAAACTTAAACGACATATTCTTACACATATGAGAGAAAAATCATTCGCATGTGATACATGTGGGAGAGTCTTCTCACAAAGTAGACACCTGAAACATCACATACGTAGGCACAATGGAGAAAGATCATTCAAATGTGATGTATGTTCCAAAGTTTTTGCTAATAATACTGTACTGAAGTGTCACATTCTTATACACACAGGAGAGAAATCATTCAAATGTGACATATGTGGGAAAGTATTTTCACAGAGTGGTCATCTGAAACTTCACATTCGCACTCACACTGGTGAGAAGCCTTTCAAATGTAACATATGCACTAGAGCGTTCTCAGATAATAGTAAACTGAAGCATCACATTCGTACGCACACAGGGGAGAAACCATTCAAATGTGACACATGTGGGAAAGTGTTTTCACTGAGTTGGAATCTGAAGCATCACATGCGGACGCACACAGGAGAAAAGCCTTTCAAATGTGAGAAATGTGGAAGAGTGTTTTCAGGGAATAGAAGTCTGAAACATCATGCACTAACACATGTAGGAGAACCCCAATTTGAATATAATGTATATGAAAGATTTCCCCCAGAATGAGCACCTGAAACTGTTCAGCCTAAAAATTGCTTGAAAGTGGCAAAGTGGAGAATGAATATGTGGTAAGGGGTCCATTCCTTGAGGAAAGAGGTGTTTGTAAGTCTCAAGGAACACACACGTACACAGAGGAGAAAGTTTCACATTTTAATGTGTGAAAGCATTCTTGCAAAGTGACACAGATACCACATGTACATGTGTGCACATACACAGTAGAAGTGACTTTCAAACATGACATGAGGGGAACAATTCTTTTGCCCAGAGTGTTACATCTATATAAACATGGGTGATAACATATAACAAACATGAGAGCCTGTGAAATTTGAATTTCCCATTGAAGTTGCTCTTATGGTTATTACTATAGGGTTTTAGAACTGGCTGTTCTGAGCAGAATGTACAGTGGATTTGGTCAGTTCCACTGACTGAGGTAGGAATTGTTGGGTATGTATGGGTTATAACAGGGCCTTAGTCACAGCGGATCGGCCTTCGTCCCTTCCACAGTGCAGCTGTAAACACTACCTCACTACTTTTTGGCCTACTCCCTGTGTACAGTCCAGAGGCTAGTCTAGTAGATAATTACTAATGTTCTAAAGGAGTTTGCTGCCTCTGTGGTCAGGGTAGAAGGAGTGAATTGGAGGTTAGGATCCTTGGAAATACTGATAACTATGTCTGAGACTTAGCGGGTGTCATCATCATCATCATCATCAGTAATCTGTCAAGACGACAGGTCCACAGTCTCTTCCAAAACAATTCCTCCACTTAATGTGATCTAGAGCTTTCTCCTTCAAATGACAGTATCCTCTTCTGTCCCCAAGGTCATCCAGCATCTTCTTATGTCTTGTTCCTCGTCTTCTTGTCACATCTATCCGCCCCTCTATCTTTCCTTCAATAACTTCTTATAGAAGGCCGTTACTGCGTAAAACATGAGGGTGTCATATCTTAGAAGATGGTAATTTTCATGTGAAAGCATTTTCAAACAGTGGGTTCCTGAACTAAAATATTTGCATATATCTGGGAGAAATGACTCATCTGTGACACGGGTTGGTAGTTCGATCAATTGAAAGTCTGAAGCGGCACACTCAGTAGTGCATGGTGGAAGAACATGCAAATGGGAAATTGTTTTAACGGTGTGAAAACCGACTCTTCATATTCTAAAGTACGCACAATAAGAAACATTACAATTCAGATGGTTCAGAAAGCATTTCATGGAACACACCATCATCATCATCATCATATGATGGGGTAAAATATTTCTTTCAGCATGATGTGTTAGATTGTTTTTGCAGAATTTATTGTGGAAGGGAGTCATGAAGCTATTTAACTGCGAGACTGCTGTGGTATTTAATTTTTGTATACTGGATCTTTAGGAGAAGTCTAAAGATGGCACTCAGGACATGGATATGATATTTGTATAACTGGATGATGCATACCACCACCTGCTTTAAACACATAAATCTGTTCTCCCCCCACCCCCTCCCAGGAGTCAGTTTAGTATGTGGAAGAACAATAGCCCTTGCTTTTCTAGGTCGCATCGCCTTTCAGATGTCATATAGGAGTATTTTATACATATCATTTGGTTTGTGTAAGACATTACATTGGGCTTTCAGTGCAGGTAGTCCCCAGTTATAGATAAGAGATTTGTAGATGATTGGCATTAACCAATGAGAGGATTCCTTAGAAGCTGCATCTCAAATCCACTTTGGTCCAGAGATCTTTTGTATTATTGTGTTGTCGTGCTACAAAGTTAATCAGATGATTACATTTTGGAGAATTTTATATCTCATCACCAGAATTCAGAACTAAATCATAACATAAAAGACAGCTAATAGATCCTTTGCAAATGTGGCAGAGTTTAGATATTTGGGAAAAATTGTAACAAATCAAAATTGGGTTCATGGGGAAATTAAGAGCAGATTGAATTTGGGTAATGCTTGCTACCATTCATTTCAGAACCTTTTGTCTCCTCGTCTGCTGTCTAAAAACGTAAACATTAAAGTATACAGAACTATAATTTTGCCTGTAGTTTTGTATGGGTGTGATAATTTGTCTCTTATATTAAGGAGTATTTGAGAACATAGTGCCCAGGAGAATATTTGCATCCAAGAGGGTTCAAATTATAGGAGGATGGAGAAGTAGCATGAGGGGGCAGCTTTATAACTTGTACTCCTCGTTAAACATAATTGTCAAGTCAAAGAGGATGAGATGGATAGGGCATGTAGCATTCATGGGAGAGAAGAGGAATGCCTGTAGGATTTTGGTGAGAAAACTAAAAGGGAAGATGCCACTAGGAAAACATTAAATGTACTAGATGCAAGGATAATATTAAAATAATTCTTAGAGAAGTAGGATGGGCAATACATATGGACTGGTTTCACCTGGTTCAGGATAGAGACCATTGGCTGGCTCTTGTGAATATGGCAATGAACCTTCAGGTTCCTTAAATTATTGTGAATTTCCAGAGTGGCTAAGCAATTTTTGGTTTCTCAAGAAGACTCTGCTGCATGGGGTTAGTTTTGTGTGAAATGTAGCCCCTCCAATAAGTGAATTTAGCATTTTTAGCTTTGAATTTGTTTTTGAAATTAAGTGCTTATTAGGAGGTTGTTGTAAAGAGCATGAATAGTGAGAGAGTAAGTTGGGGAATGGATTTATAGGTGTTTCAGCATCTGTTGCTATGTGTGTTTGGATAGTCACGTTGAAACATCTATTATGTCATCCGGTTTAAAATCAAATAGAATTATACTTATCATGCTGTAAATGGGTCTGACTAATAGTGGCTATACTTCTGAAATGAAGCTATAGGTGTGGAGTTAAAAATACTTCACATATAAATAAGTAGCTATGCATAATGTTCAAGTAAAGGAAATGCCCCTCTTGATACATAAGCAGTTTTCTTTTTGTGTTACCTATGCTCATCTTCCTGCATGTTCCATGTCCAAAACTATTCAAATGATTTCTATGAAATTTGGCATTGAGACCTTGGACCAAAATATTATTATGTGAATTTCATTTTTATTTGTACAATTTTACTGTAACTTATCCACTTCTGTAGATCAGCTAAAATAAAAACTCATATAATTTCATGGAAATTTGGAAATGTTATCCCTTGTGAAAATATTCTTATGTAATGATATGCCGACTTAGTATGGTGCACATGTATATTCCCAGTGCTGCCTATTCCCAGTCTTTTGTCAGACAAATTCTCCCGTTCATTTCTTTACTGATGTCAACTTGAGGTGAAACTAGCCCTTTTGAGTGTCATGGTAGTCAGTTTTCAGTGCCAGGTGATGTTCCATAATATCCACTTCAGATGTATTAACCTTTATTATCTACATAGTAAGCCTGGTTGTGGAGCCCAGAGACGAGTTTCTATGATGTACGGGTTGTTAAAGTGTGGTATAATAGGTGTGCATATTTCACGATATGTATCTTTATATGATCATTAAATATGGCCTATGCATTTTGTCTGTGTGTATATATTTTTGTTGTGTTCTACCAGTGCATTGGTTCAATGTAGACTGTAGACTGATTGTATTATTACTCAACCAACCATTCATTTCTGGGGCAGATGGTAGTGTAGTTGGTTGAGGCACAAGCCAGAAAGTTGTGGGTTTGATTACTGATGAGGTCACTGGATTTTTCAATTGACCAAATACTTCCAGCCACACTATGGCCCTTGGGTTGACTCAGCCTCTAACAAAAATGAATACCAAGAATCTTCCTAGGGATAAAAGGCTGCTGGCTTACAAGTAAGGCTATTAACCTTACCACTATCTGTGAAGCGATTGTCAAGAAAATGTGGAAGCCTTGATGTCTCGACCCAATGTGCCTCCATGGCCTGTTACAGGGATAGCTTTTCCTTTTTGACTATCCATTTCTATGGATTGACTAGTCTATTTGATCATGCCAGAACATAGGAACACATCAATAGCTGAGTCCAAGGTATACAACACATTGTACAATATTTCATTTTCCTGATCAGAAGGTAAGTCTGTGAATTATTTGCAGAAGTCTCATATAATTGTTGCACAGTTTAATGGTACACTATCATTGGCTTCTTTGGGAAAAGTGTGGAATGAGTAGGCTCTGCTTGCCACATGCTTTAACGTGGTTTCCTGCTTGGGATATTCTTTGGCCCAGAAGATGGAGACACGTTCCTACGAAACGTCGGTTGACTTGTAACGGACTGCACAACGTTATATCTTAGAAAATTTTTCATAACTATAACTATATAATCCTGCATGAATAGGCACTAAATCGTGAATCCCAATAACGTGAGCGAACGTGAGATTTTTTTTTGTCATTTTAACTGTGAAGCCTTTGGGGAATATATGTATAACATGCGCATTTTCTTTTGTGAACTGCCCAAACTGAAACCATTTTGACAAAAATGTCATGAAGACTAATCACAATTACAATTATTGCTGTGGTATATTGGGCCTATGAAACCCTCTAGAAATAATCGGTGTAAGTTCTCAACAATTAGATTTCTGTGTTCCATACAGAAAAAAAAAGTGCAAAAGGCCACAACGGAACAATTATAGTTTTTACAGGTTGCGTTTCGTGCGCCAAATAACTGTTTATTTCCTGAAGTTCCTGAACTAACGATCAAGGCGATCAAAGTGACCAAGAGTCTGTTACCAGCTAAGCATACGAGTATTGTATTGCATTCAACGCTAGGTTATATTAATTTGCGTGTATTGTTTTAGTTGTAAAATCGTATACCATTTATGTATGTATTTTATCCACGAACTCTTCATACTTTCCAGCCGTAGGGGCAGACGATGTAGTGTTACGTGTTTTATTGCGTAATGGAACGATTGTATTCATATCGTATGACATGTAATGATTAGAAAATTCAACGAACTTCTACCAGAGTAACGAAAGGAAAATATTAAAAAAGGGCACTGCACCCGGCCGTGGGTTATTCCTAGTGGTGTTGGATCAACTGAATAAGTGATGTTTTTTGGTTAGTTTTGTAGTCTTATAAACATAAACCAATGTAGGGTGAACCAGACTGACCCAATATTGATAGTAAACTGGATATGTTTTTACCTAATACCTGTAGATGATGTGAATTGGATACTGCGTGCACTCTGTTGCACGTAATGATAGACTATTGAACTCAAGATTCTAATAACAGAAGCTCAAGTTCTTATTAGCTACAAGTATACATATCAACTAAAGAGAAGGCTTACCTAACTTTAAGTAATCTACTCTTGATACAAAATTATTATTCATTCACTCATTCATTATTATTATTATTCTACAGGCATTATAGTTCAAAACGAACATTAGTTTGTTTTATGAATGCTTTCCAGTGGTCCTGACCCTCCGACTTTCCTCTCTGATTTCTAATGTCCAAGGTATCCAAATCTTAATCTGAATGCAGCCCCATGATAGCAGGTCTGCCTACTTGTTAAGTACCCTTCTGATTTATGTAGAGTTAACTCCCTCCAAGGTTTCTGCTTTTACATTCTAAAATCTTTTTCCAGCCATCTCAACTGCCCTGCTTTGTTCACAAGGAAGGGCACAAAGTAACAAAAGTAGTAGTTATAGTAACAACAGTAATAGTAAAAATAATGTCAGCAAAGCTGGAAGTTCTTGTATGCTTCAGGATGTTACGTTACAAGCATAGCGTCAGCCATAAGAAAGAAAACATTCACAAATTAGGCAGTATAAAGGACATTGTTTTACAGCCTGCAATGGATGTAATGAAGGAAGAACCAGATCTGGATGAGGAAACATCCCAAC